CGCGAATCCAGCCGCACCTAGAAAGCGTCCGCATCGCCAGCCGCCCGCTGCCTGCCATCTTCAGGCGTCTGCTTAAGGCCAGGCCCCGCCCCCGCCCGCCATTGGCCAGGGCCCTCCCGCCAGCTCTGAGCCCGCCTCCTACCGCATGCCATTGGACACGCGCACACACCCATTCTATTGGCTGTGCCCCAAGTCGGTCTAGTGTTGGTCCCGCCTCTGGGCCCTGATTGGATCTCTCAGGTTCGGGCGTGAGGTGCTCAATCTGGGCTAACCGCGGTTTGGGGTCACGTGGGGCAAGGTCAAGCAAGGTTAGAGGTTCAACCGGTGTGACAGCACAGGCCCGTTGCCTGCCAGCCAGCACACCAAGGTGGAGACTTCAAGGTCAGCCTTGGCTATACACTTGAGTTTGAGGCCAACCTGAACTACAGGAGATACTGCCCCCGCCCAAAAAATAAAGGACGTCTAAACAAATAACACCCATTAATACAATCCATACCTCAAATGTTCTGAATTAAAAAGCCAGAAAATTGTCTACTGCCACACTACCCTAATAACATCTGGGCCCACATAGATGGCTCAACAGGTAAAGTCACTTGCCACCGAGCCTGGCAGCTTTGGTTTGATCCCTAGGACCCACAAACACAGTGGAAACAGGGAAGCCACCCTTGCAAGTCCATCCATTGACTTCCACAGGGACACTAGCACCTGCCACCTCTCGCACAAATAAACTGGTCCTGTTTCCCTTTTTAGCTACATCTATATACCCTCCCCATTTTATTTTTAAAAAATCCACAAGTTTCCCCTACCATTCTTTCTGGCTCCAGCCTGCTTTTGGACCCTACAGCAAAATGCCAGGTCTCATGGGTCTGAGGATTCACCCAAAGCTGCTGATGGCTCCTCCATGTTGCTTCTGGTGGACCTCCAGCCTATGACACTACCTAACCCTCCAGGAGCGAGACAGGCTCACCAAGTTCCAGAAGCTCCCGGGAACCCAACACCCTCTTCTGGCCACCAGGGGTACTGCACTCGTGTACAAACCCACATATAATCAAAAGTAAATGCATAAAACCATAGTTCTATCTTCCGCCTTTGGGCTAGTATATGGCTTAAAAGTTTGCTAACAGCTGGGCAGTGGTGGTGCACGCCTTTAATCCCAGCCCTTGGGAGGTAGAAACAGGTGGAGCTCTGTGAGCTCGAGACCAGCCTGGTCTACAAGAGCTAGTTCCATCTGGCCGGGCGTTGGTGGCGCACGCCTTTAATCCCAGCCCTTGGGAGGTAGAAGCAGGCGGATCTCTGTGAGTTCGAGGCCAGCCTGGTCTCCAGACGAGTGCCAGGATAGGCTCCAAAGCTACACAGAGAAACCCTGCCTCCAAAAACCAGAAAAAAAAAAAAAAAGAGCTAGTTCCAGGATAGGCTCCAAAACCACAGAGAAACCCTTTCTCAAAAAACAAAACAAAAAAGGTTGCTAACAGCAGACATAGTGGAACACACCTTTAATCCCAGCACTCCAGAGGCAGAGGCAGGGGGATCTCTTGAGTTTGTGATCAGCACAGTCTACAGAGTAAGTTCCAGATCAACCATGGCTACACAGAGAAAGCCTGTCTCGAGAAACAAGGAATGGTTTGCCATGGAATCAAGGTGAGAAGGGCATGATAACGTAATCAAAGATGCCTCAGACATGGGACAAAGACAGAAAGGTTTAATTTAAAGTCACAGTGTCTCAGGCAGAAGAGCAGCCTCAATCGACATCTCCAGGGATCCTCTGGGCTCAGCAGAGGAAGTATGAGCAGTCCTGGGTCTCCACACTTCTGGAGATGTGGTCAGACACTAGGTGTTTGCTGGGGCAGGAGGATCTGAGGATGCTGTGGGAGTCTCCTTCTGTACCAGTTCTGGCTCATCCTCCCCATCCTGAGGTGGGTGGACCAGGACCTTGTCCAAGATGCCAAATTCTTGGGCCTCCATGGGGCTCATGTAGCGATCCCTCTCCATGGCTGACTCTGGAGGCAGGGGAAGCAGTATATGTAGGTAAGAACAGAGACCTGGGATGCTTCCCTCAATTCCTAAGTTGAAGTCAACCCAGCAGCAGGATGGTTTATGGAGTTGTAAGGATGGGACCCCTACCATGGGATCTGTGCCCTTATTAAAAGAGAAAGCCATTTGACAGGCTAGAGCAGATGGATCTAAAGTTCAAGGGCTACATACCAAGATCATGTCTCAAAAAACAAACAAACAAAAAAATAAAACAACAAAAAAGGCTGGGTGGTGGTGGCTCACACCTTTAATCCCAGCACTCGGGAAGCAGAGACAGGCAGATCTCTGTGAGTTGGAGACCATCCCGGTCTACTGAGCCAGTTCCAGGACAGGTTCCAAGGCTACAAAGAAACCCTGTCTTGACTGAGCCAGTTCCAGGACAGGTTCCAAGGCTACAAAGAAACCCTGTCTTTAAAAAAAAAAAAAAAGAGTTCAATTGTTCATTTGGTAGGGCACTGGTCTAGCCTGCACTGGTTCAAATCCCAGAACCACCTGTAATTCTGGCAAAACAAAGGTACAGTCCTTAGGATTAGGAGCTGAAGGCCAAAGGTCAGTCACCTTTCAGGCACCAGGTATTCCTGACCTTCCTGCTTCCAGGACTCAGATACACATTCCTAGCACGCCTTTAATCCCAGCACTAGGGAGGCAGAGGCAGATGGATCTCTATGAGTTGAAGGTCAGCCTGGTCTACACAGTGAGTTCCAGGATTGGCTCCAAAGCTACACAGAGAAATCCTGTCTCAAAAAAAAAAAAAAAAAAGCACATTTCTTTTTTTCAGGCAGGCTCTCATGTAGCCCAGGCTGGCCTCAAAGGGATGACTCCTGATTCTTCTGCCTGCACCTGCCAAGTGCTGGGAAGACAAGTGTGTGCCACCATGCCACACTGATTTAATTTTTACTGACTACTCAATACAGTGAGGTCCCAGGACCCACATGGCAAAGAAACTTGCCTCCTGAACATTATCCTCTGACCTCTACATGTCATAGTACCCACATGCTCATTCACACCAATAAAATACTTCCAGGTCATGTGATGAATCTTAGACTGAACATGTGTGTCCAGCAACAAGACAGATCAAAAATAGCATGAGGGCCAGCAAGATGGCATGGCAGAAAGAGGTGCTTGCCACCAATTCCTATGACCAGGAATTCAATCGACACAATGTACATGGTGTCAGAAAACCGATTTCTATGAACTGTCCTCTGACCTCCACACATCCACTGTGGCAGACACATGTTCCCCGAATCTACTATTTTTTTAAAAAAAGAAATGTCACAGGCACTAGGGAAACCCTGCTGGCGCCCACCAGCACCCAATGGCACCAGTAACCCTTGTTACCTTCCCCCCACCCAAAATATCCTCTATCGAAAGCAGAGCCGAGAAAGATCAGCTGAGACAGTTCTCATGGCTGATATATTTATTTTGGTCTGAGACTGAATCTTACAATATTCTCTAGGTCAGTCTAGAACTGATTCTCCTGCCTCCACATCCCAGGCCTAGGATGACAGCTAGGTACCACCACACCCAGCTTGCAAAGTTGATCTAAACAAAGAACAGGGTTTTAACCAGTGGGGATTCTGCCCATTAGGCTAGGAACTTTGCCAGGCCAGAAATGTATCCCCAGGGCTGGAGAACTGGCTCAGAGGTTAAGAGAACTTGTTCTGTCAGAGGATCCAGGTTCAATCCTTAGCACCCACAAGGTGGCTCACAACTTCTTATAACTCCAGTTTGAGGGGATATGACACCCTCTTCTGACCTCTGCAGACACCAGAGGCACATGTGCAATTTACAGACATACATGCTGGAAAAAAACCCATATACATATAATAAAAAAATAAAATAATTTTTTAAAGAAAGGAATGTGTATTTGTTTTGTTTTTTTGAGAGCGAGCTTCTCTGTGTAGCTCTGGCTGTCTTGTGACTTGCTTTGTAGACCAGACTGTCCCGGAACTCAGAGACTTGCCTGCCTCTGCCTCCCAATTGCTGGGATTAAAGGTGTGCATCACTACTACTTGGCAAGAAATCTATACTTAAGGCACACTCCCAGCCCTCACTGGGGGGTTCTAGGCAGAGGTTCCACCCTGAGCCACACCCCCAGTCTTTAGAGGTAGTTGGCTATCAGCATTGGAAGGCACCATAGGCACAGAGCATTTGTAGGTTAGTGATCCCATTGAATGCCCAAAAGGTCTAGGGTGACCCACTACAGTGATGTGACCCTGAAAGTCCAGACGGGAAGCCCCAGTTTAGGACAATGCTGATGTACTCACCAATCACCTGCAGGCTCTGCTTGGTGTGTTTGGCATAGATGTTGTATAGCTGCTTTTTCAGCTTCATGATCTCCTCTGCCTGGATGGCGATGTCTGTGGCTTGGCCCTGAGGAGGAAGATGAAGTCTAGGACTGGAGGAGCACCCAATGGGATGCTCAAGTGAGGGAGTCAGCCCTGCAGCTTCTCAGGGCATCTCCTCCTCCCCATTGATCTATTTTTACTTTATTTTACTTTTGTTTTGTGACAGGTTCTCTCTGGCTCTCCTGAAACTGGCTCTGTAGACCAGGCTGGTCTCAAACTCACAAGATCTGCTCCCAGGTGCTGGAATTAAAGGCATTCAACTACCATGCCCAGCTGTTTTTTTTTTAATTCTTCCTCTAGTGCCGGAGATGGAACCCAGGGTCTTGCCTGTGCTTTGCAAGCATTCTACCCCTGAGGAGCAACTCCCCAGCAATGGTAACACCGATCTCAAAACAGTGGCAGTCAGGAGGCAAAGGAGGGCAGATCTCAGTGAGTTAGAGGCCAGCCTGGTCTACACAGTGAGCTCCAGCACAGCTAAGGCTACATGGTGAGACCCTGTTTCCAACAAAGAAAGTACAGTAGCCAAGACTTCCTCCCACATCCCTGCAGGACTTGCACTCACCCTGGCACCTCCAGATGGCTGGTGGATCATGATTCTGGAATTAGGCAGTGAATGGCGCATGCCTGGGCTGCCAGCGGCAAGTAGCAAGGAGCCCATGCTGGCAGCCTGTCCAACACACCATGTGCAGATGGGGTTCAGAATATACTGCATTGTGTCGTAGATGGCCAGGCCCGAAGTCACCACACCACCTGCAGGCAGTAGAGTAAGTCAGGGCCCAGTGGGATCCTCCTCTATCCCTGTACCATCACAGCAAGCAGAGGAGGGCTCACAAGGAGAGTCCTTCCTTCCAAATCAGCTATGATCACACATGTACATGGGACAACACACAAAGTCACACACAGAGACACAAGCACACATGCACAGAGTCAAAATGCTCTGCCAGCCACCTACTGGCTATGAACCCTGGTCTGGCCATATGTCATCATGCAGGGCCAGATACTCCCACTCTCTAAGGCACACTTGCCCAGATTGGAGGTGAACATCCTTACCTGCCACTCAAAGCTTTGTTGACAAGTGAGTGCATCATGTAAAACATTCTCTGAGAGGCGCCTGGCCCGACAAGTGCCCAAACAATTCTGCCCATCCTTGGGTTGTTGAGAAGAATCAGACAATAAGGGCATTCCCCACCAAGCCCGACAACCTGAGTTCAATTTCAGGGACCCTCTGACTTTCGTGCACACACACACACACACACACACACACACACACACACACACAGTGACATGCAAGCATCCATCTACCCACACACTCATATAAATGTAATCCTAACATTTTTCTTAAAAATCAACTATTTCTGCAGAGTGTGGTGGCTCATAACTGCCATCTCAGCTTAAGTGAGAGAACTACAGAGAAACTAGGCTATAGAGTGAAACTCTGTCAGATGGTAAAGTTCTTGCTATACAAGTATGTGGACATGAGTTCAGATCCGCAGCATGCACAAAACAGACGTAGTAGTACATGCCTGTCCTGTAATCCCAGTACTGGGGAGGTGGATACAGGAGCATCATTGGGGCTCACTGACTAGTTAGACTTGGGGAAGTTCTGAGCCAGTGACAGACCCTTTTGGAATGACTGTAATTAATTAATTAGTTCTTTTTCTCCTAAGACAGTGTTTCTCTGTGTAGCCCTGACTATCCTAGAACTCACTTTGTAAACCAGGCTGGCCTCTAGATATCTGCCTGCGACTGCCTCCCGAATGCTGGGATTAAAGGGGAGTACCACCATACCTGGCTAAAAATCCTAAATTTCTGTGTAGCCCTGGGTGTCCTAGAACTCAGAGATCTACCTGCCTCTGCCTCAAAAGTGCAGGAATTAAAGGTATGTGCCATCATGCCATGCTTGGAGTGACTTTAAATTTTAGGTTCTACAGAAAGCTGCTTCACACCTATTCTCCAGAGGGGATATCCCGGACCCCACAACCAGGTCAGGCCCTGCTCACCTGGGCTGTTGATGTACATGTGAATGGGTTTCTTGTTGCTTTCAGACTGTAAGAACAGCAGCTGAGCGATGACCAGGCTGGCGACACTGTCATCAATCTGTGGGTGGGGAGGGCAGAATTGTCCCCAGGTTGAAGGTGGGCTGGATGGAGGCTTAAGGAGCCAGGAACCAGGAATTTGAGCATAGGAAGGGGATGGTCAGGGAGCCCCAAACACTGGAAGACAATAAGCTGAGGACAGGGCTGGGATATAGTTTAGTGGGTAGAGTGCTCACCTAGCATGCTCAAGGCCCTGGGTTCAAGCACTGCCTAAACCTTGTGTGGTGGTACATACCAGTCATCCCAGCACTTGGGAGTTGAAGGCAGGAGGATCCAGTTCAAAGCTAGCCTGGGGGTGGGGGGGCTTGACTTTTTTGTTTTGTTTTTTGGTTTTTCAAGACAGGGTTTCCCTGTGGCTTTGGAGGTTGTCCTGGAACTAGCTCTTGTAGACCAGGCTGTACTCGAACTCACAGATCTGCCTGTCTCTGCCTCCTGAGTGCTGGGATTAAAGGCGTGGGCCACCACCCCTGGCGGGGGGCTGGACTTCTTTTCCAGAGGGCCTGGGTTCAATTCCCAGCACCCACAAGGCAGCTCACAACTGCCTGTAACTCCAACATCTGACACCCACATACACGCAAAACACGAATGCACATAAAATAAAAATAAATTTTAAAAAGGAAAATAAAAAGCCTGCTTGGGCTACACAAGACCCTGTCTCAAAAACACCAACTACCTGACTAGGGCTGGGGCTCAGTGGGTAGAATACTGGTTCTGGGTTCCATCCCCACCCAACACTACGTAAACCTGGTGTGGTGGTGGTACACCTTCATCCCAGCCCTAAATGTCATCAGCCAGTTACATGGGGGCTTCAAGGCCAGCCTGGGGCCCTGTCTCAGAAGTCCACAAAACAAATAGATGGCAACAGCAGACTACGGTGATGATGAGATTCACACTGACAACCAACGTTTGGGAAGCTGAGGCAGGAGGACGGCAAGGCTAGCCTGGACTACGTAGCAAGAGTTTGGCTCAAATAAAAAGAACGTTTAAGGTCAGGGATGAGGAAAAGGGGGGTGGGGCACATAGTTTGACAAGGGGAGAAATGCTGGCGAGACTGCCTGATGTCCCCACAGCGCACCCGGGTCGCTCACCGGGCCCATGACGCACACGATGCGTTCCCTCAGGAGCCTCGAGTATATGTCATAAGCACGCTCGCCTCTACCCTGGTGGGAAAAGAACGGAGGTGAAAGGTCAGCGACCCTTGCACGCCGCCCTCCCCCCTCAAACCTCCACGCCATGTCTCCACCAGGTCCCCGTACAGTCTGTTCCACCACTATGGGGATGAGCGGGAAAGCTCGCGTAGCAGTTCCATGCAGGCTCCTCCGTAGGGGTGAGCTGCTCCCAGCAGCCCATAGCGGGAAGAAACGCACGGCGAAGCGAGACAAGACAGCACCGTATCCGCTCGCAGTCACCCGGGCCTCCCCAAGCAGCACTCGGGGCCACATGTCGCCGCGCTTCCCGGCTTGCCTTCCCGAACTACGATTCCCGGCGCGCTTTGCGGGAGTCGCTCGCCGGTCCACTTCCGGGAATGGAGTGGGCGGGGCCGCAGAAGGCGGGGGTAAGTCTGTGGGTGGGGTCTTTGTCGGAAGTAGGCGTTCGAATTCATAAGGGAATCCCGCTTCTCCGTCCTATGCAAGTTCCTGCCCGGGGCCTCGACGTTCCCCGGTGCCCACGCGGGAAGCAGCGTACGGACGGCGGGGTGAGGTGAGGCCTAATGTGAGACACCTGCCACCACCATTGCTCCCGCAGCAATCATCGGGTGCATGTGGTGGCCTGCAACCTGTCCATCTTCTGGAACTACAATTCCCAGGAGCTTTGCGTCCATGACTCCCAGGTATAGGCTCTTGGAAAAAAGGGGCGGAACCTAGACCGGAAGTAGAGCCCGGGATTCGCTAAGGAATTTATTGAACAAAGCAGTTTAGGGAATTGGGGAGGCTGAGGGGACCCAGAGCAGGAGTCCTGAGTTTTGCTGGAGGCCCCGGATGTTCGCTTACCTGTGTTCGTTCTCAGAGGGTGCCCAGCTTTCTAGAAACGTTACTTTATTGTCCTATTCCGAGTGGGACTTGGGAGGTAGGTGGACCGTTTCTGCTGTGCGTCAGATGTACCTCCTGCACCTCGAGCTGTCGCCATCAGACACAGGTCCCAAAAACTCCCTCCACCGCCACACCTGCTTCTCCATTGTCCTCCAGCCCAGGCTGTACTCACGCTGCTTCCTCACTCAGGCGCTGGAGTCCCTTGGAAGGGGTGAAACTGAGCCATCGAGCCTGTGACATCATGGCTCCTTGTCAGTAACCTCTACACGCATCGCCTTTGTATTCCTCGCTCATATACTTGACTTCAGTAGCCACACTTCCTTCCATGGGGGACTCCCCTCTGCCCTGTGCTCTTTCACAGCGCGCCAGTATCAAGCTGAGACATCGTGTGTGCAGAAACCCACTGCCTTTGCTACCGCCCTAGGCATATTCTGGAATTTTCCCAATTAGTTGTCACCTGATGTAAGCACTACTTAAAGTAGCTGCACTGATGGATCTTTTTTGGTTTTGTCTTTTATGGATGTAGAACAGGCGCATCATACGGAGACAGACATTATACACAGTGGCCTATTTCCATTCCCAGTGCCAGGCCTTGCACAGCCCCTCACTGGGGAATTCTAGGTGGGAGCTCCACCCCTGACCATGCCCTCAGACCCCCACTGTAGAATTCTCAGTGGGATCTCTACCTCTGAGCAATGTCCCAGCCCCATATTATCTTGTTTAATATCTTTAGCAGCACCAAGAAACAAGACCTACTTCATCTCCAAGTTCCTAAGATGAAACTAAAGCCCACAGATGATAAGCAATTTATTCTAGGCCAAACAGCTAGCAAATAATAAATTAAGGCAAATTTCTGACTTCCTGAGACTCAGTTTCCTTGCCTGTAAAATGGGAGTCTCTGGTGTATCCCAGGACTCCTGGAAAGTTTCCTGGGCAGCCACTTTGTTCCCTGAGGAAGATACATTTTTGGTAACTGGGGACCTGCATTTAAATTTGCACAGAGGCCAGAAGTGAACATCAGAGGCTATAAATGTTTCTCCCCAGAGCTCTCCAAATAGCACAGGCTCTTGCCATGGCTGTTGGTTGCCCACCACAATCAGGTGACAAGACTCAATTGCTGAAGACACCACTTTGGTTGCAGAACATGGAGTCAAGCTAGAACTGACCTGGGGGCTTCCTCCCTGCTGGCTCGATTTCATAGTGCCAGAGATGTCTTTCATGTCTGGAAAGAAGACATACATGGTCTCATCCAGTTGTGGACCCTGACTACTGCCACTGTGACCAGGGGCAGGATGGTGACACTGTGCAATAGTGGCATGAAAGCTACAGGGGCAACCAGAAACCTTCTGGTTGAATTCAAGGCTGCTCTGTAGGAGGGAATCATGCTTGGTAATGTAAGCTCACACTCAGAAGTCGTAGGCCAAGGAGAGAAACATAGCTCTCATTGCTTGCTGAATGCTAAACTGATGTCTGGATGTTTATGTCTGTTTGCAGAGACTCCCAAGTCAGAATGCAGAGGAGTGCTCAGCCCTAAGCAGACATTTACAGCACCACTGCTCTTCAAGGCCTGGGGAACATCGGGAAGGGGGCAGAAAGAATGTGAAAGCTGGAGGATGGGACAACACTCCTAACCTCACAGCAGCTGTGACTGCCTGAACAAGATCAGTCAGTATTCCAGTAGCAGTAGGCAGCAGTTACCAGACTCAGTGGCTTACAAAAAGAGGACATAAAGGTGGGAGGAGGCTGTGTGAGGGAAACAGGAATGGAGCTGAGTAAAATACTTTGAATAAATGTATGAAATTTTTAAGGAATAAAAGATTAAATGAAATAGTTAAAAGAAATACAAGCCAGGACATGGTGATACATGTCTTTTTTTTCTTTTCCTTCCTTCCTTCCTTCCTTCCTTCCTTCCTTCCTTCCTTCCTTCCTTCCTTCCTTCCCTTCCTTCCTTCCTTCCTTCCTTCCTTCCTTCTTTCTTTCTTTCTTTCTTTCTTTCTTTCTTTCTTTCTTTCTTTCTTTTCTTCCTTTTTGAAACTGGGTTTCACTGTGTAGCCCTGGCTGTCTGTCCTGCAACTCATTCTGTAGACCAGGCTGGCCTTGAACCCAGAGATCTGTCTGCCTCTGCCTCCTGAGTGCTGGGATTAAAGACGTTCACCACCTCAGCCCAGCTTTTTTTTTCCCCTCCAGAACTCTGTAGACCAGGCTGTTCTCAAACTCAGAGAGCTGCCTGCTTCTGCCTCTCAAATGCTAGGATTAAAGGTGTGTACCACCATATCTGGGCTTGGTGGTATACATCTTTAATCCCAGCACTCAGGAGGCAGAGGCAGGAGGATCTTGGTGGGTTCAAGTCCAACCTGTTCTATATTGTGAGTCCTAAGGCTATCTAGGGCTACATAGAGAGCCCTTGTCTCAAAAAACCCCTTTTCAAAAAAAAAAAAAAAAAAAAAAAAAAAAAAAAAAGCATTAACAAAACGAATGTATTTTGTTGGTTTTGAAGGTTTATTATTATTGTTTTTAATTGTGGATGAGTAAATGATGTACAAGTGCTGCAGGGACCAGAAAGGGGCATTAGGTCTCTTGGAGCTTAAAGTACGGATGGTTGTGAGCTGCCTGACATAGGTGCTGAGAACAGAACCCTTGCTTAATCGATAACATCGAGTGCTCTCAACCGCTGTGCCACCTAGGCAGTCCCAGAATGTCACTCTTCAGACCTCAGTGAGCTATTCAGGGATAGTATGTATTGCTTTTGATTTTCTTTCTTTTTTTTAATTTTATGTATTTTTTGATTTTTTTATTTTAATTAGAAAGAAAATTATTTTACATTCCAATCCCAGGTCCCTTTCCCTCCCCTCCTCCACTGCCCCCCCCCCAACTAACACCCTACCTATCCCATACCCTTTCTGCTCCCCAGGGAGGGCGAGGCCTTCCATGGGGGGATCTTCAAAGTCTGTCATATACTTTGGTATAGGGCCTAGGCCAACCTCCTTGTGTCTAGGCTCAGGGAGTATCCCTCTATGTGGGATGGGTTCCCAAAATCCATTCCTATGCTAGGGATAAGTACTGATCCACTACAAGAGGTCCCATAGATTTCCAAGGACACCTACGTTCCTGGGGTCTGGATCAGTCCCATGCTGGTTTCCCAGGTATCAGTCTGGGGACCTAGAGCTCTCCCTTGTTCAAGTCAGCTGTTTCTGTGGGTTTCACCAGCCTGGTATGGACCCCTTTGCTCATCAGTCCTCCTTCTCTGCAACTGGATTTCAGTTCATTTCAAAGTTTAGCTGTGGGTGTCTGCTTCTACTTCCACCTGCTGCTGGATGAAGGCTATACGATGTCATCTGAATTAGTCATCCATCTCATTATCAGGAGAGTCATTTAAGGTAGCCTCTTCTCTGTTGCTTAGATTGTTAGTTGGTATCTGTATAGCTCTCCAGACATTTCCCTAGTGCCTGATTTCTCTTTACACTTATAATGTCTCCCTCTATTATATTATCTCTTATCTTGCTCTCTTCTGTTCTTCCCCCAACTCAACAGTTCTGCCTCACCATGTCTTCCTCACCCCTCCTCTTCTCCCCTTCTCATTCTCCTAGCTCCCCCCCCCCCCCCCCCGCTTTTTGATTTTCAGAGACAAGGTCTCACTCTGTAGTCATGGCAATCCCCCCACCTCGCCTCAGCCTCAGGACTACTGAGACGGTGGGCATGCAGCACCAAGCCAGGCTCATTGCGGACAGGTCTTATTCCTTTTCACATATGAATTGTTTAAGACAGAAAGCCTTTGTCAGGCCATTGGATCTTCCTGTGCAGCAAGCTCAAATTCTGAGGGGTGTGGGGGAGTTGGTGTTGTAATCCAGGCAAACCTGGCCCCACCCCTTGGGAAACTGGCAGAATGTGTCCCCTCTCTGCACATGGCAAGCAGTACACAGTTGCAAAGGTCCCTTTAAGAGATAATCTCTGCCCACTCCTCTCTCCACCATATCTCTGAGGAGGCGGGCAGATCTCTGTCTATCTCCTCTCTTTGTCTCTGTCTCTCTCTTCTCTCTCCCCTCTCTCCCTTCTTCCACTCCCTTCCCTTCCCCAATAAAACTGCCTTCCCATGTAAGTTCTGCCTGATGGTGTGTTTGTGCCCACCCCCATGGGATTCACCGTGGTCCCACCTTGCATCAAATTCCTAACAGTGGGAATCCCCTTTCTATTCTTCAAAGGGTTACGAAGTTTCCTTATTTGGTGATTTTTGTCTGAGACAGGGTCTCCTGTAGCCCAGGCTTGCCTGGAATTTACTATGTTGCCAAGGCTGGCTTCCAATTGCAGAACCTTTTTCCTGAGAGCTAGCATGACGGACAGGAGCCAGCACGGCCTTTCCTTTGGAATCTAGTAATTAAACTCATGATAGCCATGTGATTTACACAAATTACATACATAGAAAGGAGGAGAAACCCCAAAGAATCCAGATAAAATCTATAGCTGTCAATAGTGCCAACTCTGATTTTGAAAGTAGAGTTACATAACATGGCACCAGTGGGGTGTTGGCTCATCCTTGTGGGAATTAGCAGCCCTGGCAAGAGAATCACCACTGCTACAGCAGAGAGCCCACTCACTGGTGGCTCAGATCTGTCATCCTAGCACTCAGGAGACGGAGGCAAGAGGATCAGGAGTTCAAGGGCAGCCTTAGCTACTTAGTGAGTTTAAGGATAACCTGGGCAATAGGAGAATCAAGAGAGAAATGGGGGTAGGAGAAGAGAGAGAGAGAAAGAAAGAAAGTTGTTGCCTGAACTTTTCTCTGAGAGATGTGAATCAGTGTCACCCA